AGCAGCTCGAGCACGCCAACATGTGGAATCCCGTGCACTGGGGCGCGTCGTCAGCGGTGCCGCCGCCGCCGCCGGCGATGGTGAGGGAGGGGAGCCCCAGGGCGATGAAGAGGCGACGGACTGATGCGCTGGATCCGCATGTGTCTGTCACGGCGGGCTGGTAGAAGCGAGAAAAGGGGTAGGGGCTAGATGGTAATAGGATGCATTGATGGGTCGGTTGCATGAGGCGCCGGGCGCAGATCTAGGGCGTTTTTAACGTAATACCATATAGGGCATGGAACGGATTCTCTCTTGCTTGGTTCTTTGCTCTTTGCTTTTCGCTAATGGATGTCATTGTCACTTGTTTGTTTGTTCGATATGGGAAATAAAACGGACGGGGGAGGATAAGGTTTAGATCCGATCTGGCCGCTTCTATTCATGATGCCACACATGTGGGCATAGAAGGTTGGGACATGATATGATAATTAATTGGATACCTATAAACGTGCGAGACAGTCGATATGTGTCGGTGAAGTGAAACTACCTTGGGTCAAGTGAAACTGGGCTGCTGGAATTCATTTAAGGTCTATTGGATTTCGTGCACCGGCGGTGAAATCCGTGTGGATCAGGGCTTACGCAAAGGCTTCACCAGCCTACCAGCAGCCCCGATAGCTGGGCAGAGGCCAGGATTGGTGGGAAATGCTATCTCCAAACTAAAAAAACAGGGAAGGCCGCGTGTTGCGGGAGGGTTTGTGATGGCGGTTGTTGAAACCTTGGTGACGCTGTGAGTGGGAAATGATGGGTTCGGGCGTGCTCCGCCCTCTTTATTTATTCACCAAGTTCGAAAAAGCAACGAGAGGAAAAGAGGGGTCTGGCTTCCGTGACTGAGGCGCTATCCCGATGGTTCGGGAGGAGCTCAGACAGAATGGGCAGTGAAACACATGGATTTGGGTTGGGGGAAGGGAGAGTGGTTGAAACTCAGACTGTTCCTGAGCCAAACGTTGTGCGGCTGATGATTGGGTGGGGAGTGAGTGTTCGACATCGGTGAGATCTACAATGCAGAGAAGCAAGACGAGAGTGGTCGACTGGTTATCTGTGAGAGCTCATGGAGAACAAGCAGGTTTTATCAACAGAAGCACAATCTGCAAACATCGGTATGATACTTTATATGTTGGAGCAGGTCAACCTCACATATTTGACGTAATGAGGGATGGGGGCACCACCCGCAAATGATATCGGTGTACAATGCAACCATGAAACGATGACTTGCACGACGGCCGCTCGATCTTGGGCACTCGATGCACATGTAGGCAGATGTGACATGGTTGACAGGACACTGTGACACATCACGAAGGGGAGGTTTGGGCATGATCAACACATCTCTCGCAGCGAGACTGAAACGGCCCGGGAAACTAGCACGTGAGGCATGTGGGATGCTATGATGGCCCCGTGAACTTATTCCAAGGAAAAGAAATACTTGGTTGGTTGGGTTGGAAGGTTTTGCTGGGCGAGGCTCTGGACCGGGCGCTTGATCAAACGCAGAGAACAAGAGTGAGGTAAAAGTACAATGGCGAGAGACGCAAACTCTGCTCTGAGTCAAGCCGCCCAGCGTTTCGCCTTTCCTTGGCCCGGTACCCATCAGGACTCGACTCGTGCAATGAGCGAGGTTGCAGCCGCGCGACCAGAAATTGCATCGGGACGGGATGAGGGCGAGAGGTTGTACAGGATCCGACGGAGGGAGCCGATTGGAGAGCAGAGGACGGTTTGGGAGGGAGCCCGCCCGGACCCAGACAGGCACAGGCACGGACAGGGACAAGCCAGAGAGACGGAGAGTCAAAATCAAGAAACGAAGAGCAGGCAATGGCTGGAGGGACAGGACATTAATTTAGAGCACAGCACCCGAAATAGCGCGTGTCCACTGTCGGCTGCCGTGCTGCTGTAAATTGCCAGGTCGCAGGCGGCAATGAGCTTCTGCCAGCCAATCGCCGGCCTTGGGCGCTAATTTTCTGGAACGTGCGCCCCGGCCTAGACCCCTAGCGGTTTGAGCCACAGCAGGTACCCTGCCACTGCAAAATATACGGTGGGGTACATGGCCCGCCAGCGTCTACCGAGACACCATCATGCATCTTCTGCCTGTCATCAGTCCATCGACTCACCCGGTATCCTGTTTGCCTGGGCTCGACCCTTGCAAGTTGCGGCCCGCCGCAAGGCCACATCGGTCTATAGGTCGCGGTTAGAAGTTGCGTGTAAGAGAGTTGGGCTCGCGGTGGCTCTTTAATTGGTGTCTGCCGCTGCCTTGTCGTTACTCAAGAGCAGAGCCTTGTTCTGGTTTCCTATGTATGGCCACTGGTGCCTCCTTGACCGCGGCTCGCCTTTCTTCTCTTTCTTTCTAGTGATATTGATTCCTTTCTCCGATCTCAGTTCTCTTAGCTTTCTCTTTTATCTCCAGCTGGCTGTCGATCATACTACCTTCGTCCCTATACCGTATTACGTGCAGTCTTCGAACAGGCATGCAGAGCTAGAGTCATGAACAGGCGGCACCTACTTGCATCCCTCTCTTCTCTGTTTCTTCTCACTTCTATTCAGCTGGACTGATTATTCCTCACACGCATTGATTGTGTCATCCCATCTTCCATTTCTTCGCATCACATACTACTGTCGGCATTCCCACTCGGTCCTCCATTGGCGTTGATTCACTGTTTATTCAAAGAACGAGGTCTACCTGACTGGCTATTTTAAAGAGGTGGTATTGGGGTAGAAAGGGGACGAGATATAAAATCAAACCAGGGTGTTCGTCTTTGTCGCATTCTGTACCAAAACACACTGCAGCGCCTTCTTGTTCCTAGTGTGTGTCCTTCTCAGATTTCCTTCAGAACACGCTCAGAACTGTTCCCGCCGGCTGTTCACGCCTGGAACACACGACTTAGGGCAGTACCCGGCTCCCTTTATATTTCTCTTCTCCCAGAGCCTTTTTTTCCTTTCCTCTTTCTTATTTCTTCACCCACTTTGATTCTACCACACAAATTTCTACATTTTTGCAACACTTCTCCTGGAGAGAAACCGCCATCTCATCAAGAACCCAGTTCTCATTTCCTCATATTTTCCTCCATTTCTGGACTTTCAACTACAAACACGCTCACTTTGGCGCACAAGCCTCGGCAATATGCGCAACGTCTTTTCCATGGCTCGAGCAGGCCTCATTGCCACCTCACTTCTGGCTGTTACTAACTCTGTTGATGCGCATTCCTGGATAGAACGCGCTATCAAGATCAATCCTGCCAACCAAACTTTCTTTGGAGCAGAGGGTTACCCTCGCGGGTACATCCCTCGTTCAGACCCCTCCTTCAATGATGAGAAGGTCCTCCTACGACTTCCGTATACCGGCACGGCCTTCTACACAGGCGATGAGAAAATCAACAAGGCTGCCTTTGAGGCCAATCCATCTTTCCCCATGCTCGAGGCTGCGCCCGGTGACTTCATCGCCATCACTCATCTTGAAAACGGACACACCACAAAACCTCAAACTAACCCCCTCAAGCCATACAACCGGGGCACTGTTTTCCTCTACGGCACAGCTGATCCCAAGGATGACGAGAAGCTTTTTGACATCCACCTGAAGTGGAACACTGAAGGTACCGGCGGCGATGGCAGGGGCAAGCTTCTGTCTACCCGCAACTACGACGATGGCCAGTGTTACGAGGCTCGCAACGAAGGGCTGGCGCTTAGCCGAGCCCAGGCTCTCAAGACGAACCCCAGCACCCCGCTCGCTTGCCAGTCGGACCTTCAGCTTCCTGATGATCTCAAGCCCGGCTCAATCTACACCATTTACTGGTACTGGGATTGGCCCAACCTGAACCCAGAGGTCGTTGACATGGAGGCTACGAAGAACGGTATCTACCCATGGGCCGGCACTTTCATGCGAGGCGAGAAGGACCCCAATGGATTCACCATGCAGGCCATCGCCACCAATGAAAGCTACGCCAGCACCCTTGACATCAAGATCGTTGAAAAGTCCGGGTACTCTACCAAGGCCAATACCGAGAGTTCCTCTTCTGGGCTCTCGGACGTCTTCAACATGGCTATTGCCTCTCAACTCAAGACTAACTTTGATGTCAATGTCAACTACGGTGATGGGGGCGATAACAGCTCGGTCCAGCCTAGTGCCAGCTCTACTTCACACACGCCAACACACACTTCTGCCAAACAGAGTTCTACTTCGGCTCCGGGTAACGGCGCCACGGCTACAGTGACAGTGACAGAGACAATCCCAGCTACTACTGTAGTCTCTACCGTATACGTAACAACGTCCGGTGGTGGCTCTGGTGGTGATTGCTGCCACAGCAGGTCAACCATCTACCAGACAGTCACGGACATCGACACGCAATACACCACCGTGTATCCCAAGGGAACACCTACCAGCAGCTCCTCGGCCAGCTCTAGACCAGCGACACCAACGGGCGCTGGCATGAATGGTGTGTTCATTCACATCAACTCTGGATTCTCCACATCGATTGCTTCTCCTTCTTCTTAGAGAAGCGGTGTCGACGAAGACCAGAGCCTGCTAGGCTCTGCACTTCGTAGAAATTCATCGTCTTGAATCTTGTCGCTGCCATTGCATTCACTTGGCTGACTGTGGTGGGTAGCATCTTGCTCACGCTCAAAAATCCATTGCTGTTCAATTAAGCTTACCAAATTCAAAAGCCTAGCTCAGAGTCAATACATGACAAAGCGGCATTGATTACAGAAGGCGGCAAAAATTTTCTTTCTTTGTTTATATTATTTTGATTTCGATTTACAAGAGGCGCTTTGAAATACCAGGGATAGACTCATTGGGAGGGGGCAGGGCAGATTTCAGTGTCAAAACATATGGCGCGGTTCGGTTTTTCTTTTCTTTGTTCATTTCTTTTCAATATTGAAGCCCTGATTGAGTTCGGGCATTTGGTCACGGTCAGATAGCATTCGCGGCTGCCTTAGCCTGTGCATATGCAAAACAGGAGAGCTTATCCAGCTTAGGTAGGCACAATGAAAATGCGTCACACACACACACAAAAGGCTTCTTGTTCGTAGTGAGGTGGCTTTGTGTCGTAGGTGTTGAAACATAATGCCATTCTTCCGGAGCTTCATATTTGGAGTCAAGTGATTTTGTAACCAATGTGAATATGACAAGAGGTGCGATGAGTCAGTCTTTTTCTTTGCCAGAACTTTCTACATGGGTGTTCATGATTGTCTTTCGGATACATTCATCAATGAACAATAACCAACTGGCCTATGCTTCTCACATCTCGCCGCACTGAGAAATGACAATATCCATATTGGGGACATCCTTTCCTCGGTACCCGGTCTTGGTCGCCTCCATCTTCTTCACAATATCCATCCCCTCAACCACCTTGCCAAACACCACGTGCTTGTTGTCTAAGAATGGGGTTGGGACTGTGGTGATAAAGAACTGGCTCCCGTTGCTGTTGGGGCCAGCGTTCTAAGAGCTGCTGTTAGCGAAGATGTAGAAATGGAATCTACTTGAGGCGGATACGTACCGCCATGGAGAGAAGGCCAGGCTGGTCGTGCTTCAGGTTGAAGTTCTCGTCCTCAAACGCCTTGAAGCCCCAAATGGTGGTGGAGCCGGTGCCGTCGCCATTGAGAAAGTCGCCGCCCTGGCACATGAAATTCGGGATCTGATTTGCCCTGTTAGCAAGGAAGGATATATTGATGGGGATATTGGAATTCCATCCTTCCCCCCCCCTCGGCGATCGAAGAGGTACAGCCCTCGGCAAGGGAGGGGGTGGAGGGATACGCACAATACGGTGGAACTTGGAGCCCTTGTAGCCCTGGGGGCGACCGACGCTATTCTTGGCCTCTCCGGTGCAGAACTGGCGGAAGTTCTCGGCAGTTTTGGGAACCACGTCGTTGAACAGCTCGAACTTGATGCGGCCTAGAGGTTCGCCTGGAATTCAAGCTGGTTAGATTCATGGGGAACGGGCCGATAACGATTACGGTGACTGATCATAGATGACTTGGAGTGTGCGAAACTAACCTCCAAGAGTGATATCGAAGAAGACTCTGGGGTCAAGGTCAGCCTCATTGGTTCATCTGTGAGGGTGAGTGTAGAGTGTAGGTTTGGTGGTTCACGTACAGCGGGTTGCCGGAGGCTGGAAGCTCGGTAGGCGGCATTGTGGAGGCCGTGACTTGCTTATGAGATATAGGGCTAGATTTGAAAGACAATATAGCTAGAACGGGTGGTGTATTGTTGGTTTTCACCGGCTATCTGCCTCTGGTATCGTTGAATTGACTGTGTTGATCTTTTTCTTGCTGTTGAAATCGGAAAGTTCGCACTGTATTCACAGCTGAGGGTGGACACAATATTGCAACCCAGGAGCACAAAACACAGTGTTAGAAGGAATTGGTACTGTAACAGGGACCCCGCTACAACTTTATAATTACTGCAGCCACTAATTCTCCCCTATAGCTTCGTATCATCATCTTCGGTACAGCATCGACCCAAATGGGCTCAGAGGGCTTTTTTTCCCCCTTTAAAAATACATGCCCAGCTATGTGTTATATTTACTCTGTCTTAAGATGCCACCACGTGATACTTCCTCAATGACAGACACCAAGGTACCAACTGTCTATTGCGAAGTGTATCCTACTCGACGCTGCCGCTCCAGTGGTGGACATCGAACCGGGCGTTGCTGCCAGTGAAGGGCTCGGTACCGAATTGGAGGGCTAAGTGAAAGTCAGCACCCTGCCCTCGGGTAATTATAACTTGCAGAGCTGGTTTCTTTCTTGATAGATGAACTTACTGATGAGGTGCTGGCTGTCCGCGGGGAAGCCTTGCTGCTCGGTGATGATGTTGAAGAACTCCTTGACATCGCCGTCGAAGTTGTTGATCTGCTCAGGGGCGATGAAGCTGTAGACCTTCATGGCGCCGTTGTAGCCGACATAGAGCTCCCAGCTGCGGCCGGCAGCCTGGACGGTGCCGGTGGACTGGCCAATGGGGTAGACACCGCCAAGTCTGCCGAGCCTGTCGCGTTCGGATATTCGTTAGTCGCGAACGAGCTCAATGTTTGACCGATTTCCAAAACTAGGAGGCCACTTACCAGATCATGAGCTCGTGGTCGCCGCTGCTGATCTCGTGGTTGGGGTCGGCAGCTGTGAAGATATCATAGGCGACGTTGGCACGGATGTCGCTGCCGCTGTAGGACCAATCGGCGCCGGAGGGAATCTTGCTGATGGTGTTGACGAGCTTCTTGTCGCTGAGCTCGCGGCCGGAGTACGGGTAGCTCTTCACATTGTTCTCGCCGCCCGACCACGACCACTCGGTGTGCCAGGAGACGCCGGTGGAGCTGACGCTGTCAACGTGGGTGCACTGGTCACCAGAGCCGGAGCCGGACCCCCACTCGTTGTTGTTGAAGTACCAGCCAGCCTCGTTGTGGTAGGCGAACTGGTCGCAGAGGTCGACTGCCATGGCGAGAGGGGCCATGGCGGCGAGTTGGAGCATCTGCTGGGCTCTCATTTTCCTGCTGGTGGCGGTATCGCTGGGTTGGAGACTGGGGATTAAGAGATGAAATGGTTTAGAGAAAAAGGGTGGTGACGGCAAGGCAGTATATTAATACGTAGAGTGAAGCATGCTCCCATCCACAGCGCCTGAAAGCCAAGATATCAAAGCCCATTTTTGTCGCCCCTAGCCAGTTCGCCTTCCAAGCAGCGACCTGATCTACACGCTCATTTCCGGGAGAGGTCATGGCGGGTCGTTTCAACGATGGGACTGGCATGATCCATCGCCTATGATCCGCGTTCCTAAAGCTTGGCACTGGAGGGCACTAGGAATCTCAGAGTTAAATGTCGTGCACGCTGCCGTGTTTCAAAGGGCACTTGCTTGATGAGGCAACATGATGGCGATTCACTGTTTTTGATTGATGGGCCCCTTGTGAGCTCTTCGGACCCGAGCCCAATCGGAAGATCTAAGCTTGAATCTCAAACAGAGGCGATTCCGGGTTCTGGGGACTGATTGCGCGTTCCTGAATCGACTTTCTGCATTCTATCTGGCTTCCTTTTTTAAGTGTGCGAGGGATGCCCCGATTGGTATATGACCGAGCATCTTGGGGCTGGCCATGCACATCATTGCCGGATCCTGGACGAAAGCTGCCGATCGTTTCAGCGCAACGGCTCGTTTATTTACTTGAATTCATCATTGCCTGATCAACGATTCCCGTAATGGTGAGGCAATTAGTATACATTGCTAGATTGCCTTCCGGCGATGAGTTGTCTGTCCCATTATGCTGGGATCTCGTTTTCCAGACCAATGCTGTAAACAGCCTACCCAATTGTCTATACCGTCGCCTGAAGTATCTGCTGAGCTTGACGATGCAAACTATTCGAATCTTGAGGGTTGAGATAATGGCGGAACTGAGACTCCCAGCGAAGGGTGAGAGAAGTGACATTCTCCAACGCCCTCTGCTTTCAATTCGAGTTTGATACGCTAGCATTGGAGAAGACTTGTACCACATCTTCAGAGGTATACATGTTAGCTAGCCATATTAGCTGGCCATAGTTTTGATTGTGGAAAGGCAAGAGTCATAGGTTTGATGTGCAAGCGAATGATGGACAAGCCTATCGATTAACACGTGGATCGCCCGAACTCTCGAGGACTAAAACAAGAGCAAGGCGATCCACGTGTTTTAATGCACATCGGAGTTTTAGGAGCCGAATTCAGCCCCTGACATCGCTATTATTTGAAATGGTCGCAGTCGAAACGGGCCGATCCGTGACGCTGGTTATTTTTGCGTATTCTGTGACAACATCACTCTCATCGGATCTTCGTATTTTAGTAGTTGGCTAGAACTTACTGGGAGCAGCTAGGTAGACTAATACCACGACTCTCAGACATACGCTACATAAATGGTCGTCTTCTTTCGGTGGCTTGTTTCCTGGCTATTGATTAACACAGACTTACAAGAGAGAAAGCCATCTCGGGGGGTCCTGCTTTGCCTCTTTACAACATTGAAATTAAGCCGTTGGTCTAAGTAAGACGACCCAAGAAAAGGATGAGGAAGGGGCGAAGCTGCATGAGGCAAGGCACACATCCACACAGATGGTTCGAGGTGAATTTATCCGCAGGCAGCAGGGCCCACGATTTCAGCTGGCTTTGCGTGGCCTGACTGCAGGTTGATTTGGGGGCCCAGGTATAGCACACCTTTGCCACGGAAAAAAAATTAGATTTCGAAGATGGATGTCAAAGAAGGAAATTCTGTTACCGGCATGCCGCTGGAACAGGGTAGCATGAGGGAGAGCATGATCGAAATAGAGGTGATAAACCCCCTCTCGACCATTAGGTAGCTATAGCTGCTAAGTGAAGTAATGTTCGCAATGGCGCAGATCAAATTACTCGAGCAATGCTACATTACAATTGCCACGACGGTGGAACGTCTGCGTATGATTGGGGCGTAGTCTCACGGCACTCAACGGTAGTAAAACAAACAGCCCACCCACGTGCGCCCTGGAAGGGGTAGAAATGCACGTCAAAGTACCAAGTCAGCCCGCATAAGGCGTTTGATAAGGCGAAAGGGAAATTTGGTGGCCAACATTCTACCGAGCCATTTCCACACTGGTAGCAAAGGGGCTCAGATAAGAAGCAGTGGACATGGCTTCAGCAATGCACAGACGGAGATGATTCCGGAAGCGGACGAGCTAGTCTGCCGTGTGCAAAGCAAAATACATTGTAGCCTAGGTTTGATGCCGTCATGCATGCATGCATGACTCTAAATTCGTTGTTCCCTCAGCCCTGCAGTCATCGGTGTTGTCCAGTCGGTCCAAGCTGAAACAATAGCCATGTCTAAGGCTTTCCAGGCAATTTCGAGAAAGGCTGCCCACTCTGTGTTTGAGAAGAGCAAGCCTGAAGGAAGACAAAAAAAGAACAATGAACTTGGCAGCCGGATAGACGACGTTGAATCTAGTCTCCGGAGTTTGAATCCATGGTGGGTTGCGAGAGTTCTATAAGCTGAAACAGCTCAGTTCTAACGGTATCCCTAATCCAAATATAGTAGCATTTTCGGCCCAACCACCCCTCTGATTGGTCCAGAAGCCTGGTTGATTTTAATTGGTTGCTGCGGTAGTTCTCGCCCTGAAGGAATTGTTCTTTTGCAGGCTGAGAGAGGGTCTTTTGTCTTCCCCCTGTATCTGGGCAACTCTCCAACTCCACAATCAGGATGGTGTGAATCTTGGTCCAAACAAGTGACCAGTCAACGGTGATCTAATGGACGGTTTCCTGCAAGGTCCAGAAATTTGTCGCCATATCTTACCCACCAGGGCAGAGAAGTCATCCCTAGAGCAATGATAGTATGGCGAGGGTTGCGGAGGCTTAGACTTTGCTTCCCATTGGTGGCAGCGTTCATTATTCTTATTACAAAGTATGTAGAAAACCTGGATCCTCTTATTATACTCTACTTGCTGCCATTTTATCTTTGTAGTATCCCATTGCTTCTTTTTCGTTAATGAGGTTTCCCTTTTATTGTGTCCCTGACCATCATACTTCTGTGGCACGGCACGCCTTCCTTCACCCGTGTGCTTTCGTTAATTTGTGAATCCAATTGCTTGCCAACCTAGAAGAAGCAGGGCATCCAACCATGTCTTTGGCGCTATCATTAACCGTTTCTACCTTCGTCCTTACCGCTTTGGCGGCCACCTATCCTAAGGAGGTATTATGGAGCAACAAAACCTTTGGTCCGGATGGCCCTTGGCGCGCAGTCAAAACTAACATAGGCGGAAAAGACATAAGTCTCTTCCCGGGAACCAATTGGGAGACATGGCTGATAGAAGATGACTACTGCGGTGATGGGACCTGTTATGCCTCCGAGGCTGGCACACACAACAGAAACCACTCTGGAAGTGGTGCTAATCTCAAGCTTGACTCCGATTACGACTACTTCCAGCTTGGTGTGAACTTGGGAGGTGGCAATTCGATACGTTATGTGGATGACATCGATATTAATGGACTGACCGTGACCAATGCGAGTCTCGCCCTCATCAAATCTCCCGCCTCTAAAATCAAGTATCCTGGGACGACGGCACCGTTCTTTGCTGGTTGCTTGAGTGTGGGAAGCAAGGGCGGCACGAACGCGGATCTCCAGCCAGCAGTCGACGGCAACCCCAAAATCAAGGCCAACATGCCTCCCGGGTTTTTATGGGATCAGGGCTACACACCGTCCAACTCTTTCGGCTTGCACATCGGCTCGGTGGAGCCTGATCTCGCAGGCTCCCTCTGGTTCGGCGGGTATGACAGGAACCGCGTTGTGGGTGATCCCATCATCAATGAAGGGGATTTCAAGGACCCTGCTACCACTCTGCAGGATATTGGAATTGACGTCATCAATGGAAAGTCACCATTCGATTTCAATTCTACCAAGTCCGGTCTCCTTATGGAGGGGAACTCGTCAATGCCGATCACGTTCAAGGTTATGATTGACGGCTGCTCCCCCTATCTGACCTTGCCCAAGTCGACTTGTGACAACATTGCCAGCCACCTCCCTGTCACCTTTGATAAGATGCTTGGTCTCTACCTCTGGAATACAAGCTCGGAAAAATACAAGGAAATCATCCCTTCAGCCACGGCTTTGAGCTTTTCATTCACGTCCAGCGGCAACTCCAACCCGATCAAGATCCGTGTGCCGTTCATGCACCTCAACTTGACTCTTACGGCACCTCTAGTCGACACTCCCACGCAATACTTCCCGTGCCATGTAAACGAGAAGGGGAAATATGTTCTCGGCAGGGCATTTCTACAGGACGCGTTTCTCGGAGGGAATTGGGACCTTAACGTGAACAGATGGTGGATCGCTCAGGCGCCAGGTCCGAACATTCCCACTGCTTCAAATGTCCTGCAAATCGCAACCACAGACGCGACTATCAGGAAGAGCGACACCAGCTGGGAGGACTCATGGAAAGGTGTATGGAAGGAAGCCAACACAACCAGTGACGGTTCTACATCTAGCGATGACAACGGTGGAGGTTTGTCAACCGGAGCAAAGGCTGGGATCGGTGCCGGTGTGGGAGTTGTCAGCTGCCTGCTCATACTCGGCGCCGTATATTTCTGGAAACGGCGGCAGGAGAGCCAGAACCAAGGCCAGAACGAGGCCCAGATCAATGATCAGAGCAACAGCCACCCACTTTCTCAGTATTATGACCCCCCCAAGATCCAGGAGCTACAAAACCACAGCGTGGCTTCAAGTTGGCATTCTCCCTCGCCGAGCCAACCAACAAGCGAGTTGACAGGTTCGCGGCCGGTACCACCTGAGTTAACAGGCTCGGAGCCGACAACGAGCGAGCTGCATACTCCGGAGAGGGTCCATGAGATGGCGTAGAGAGCAGTTGTGTCGGATTGTAAGCGTACGCTTAGACGGTTGGAGGTTTATATTAAATTATGCCATGAATTGGCCTTGTGTATTTTTTGTATAGCGCTAGTCCTTGATTAAAGTATAGGAAGCGAAACATGTCTTACCTTCTTGACTTTTTTAGAAGACTCTTCTCATACGCTGTCGATAGTTGTCATGGCGATGTAATTTCCTAATGTACGCTTGGTTGACATGGACTCTCAACTCCACAACGGCAGGTTAAGCCTTCAGAGTCCATATTTGGGGAAAATTTCCTCCAATTGGAAAAAGTCCCCTGCTTGGAGACAGTTTCCTAAGTACGGGTGCCTGAGGCGTCTCTTGATAGATCCATATACAGACAGAGTCAAGAATGGAGAGCATTTGATTCCATATTCTTCCAGAATCAAACTCGGGATCCCGATTGCCGGCTCTCTCCCGATTCCGACGGGTCAACATGGAGGCTGAAGTCCGAAGAACCGCATAGTTTGCCTGGAATAGGCCATTGTCTTATCGACCCGAGGCAATCGATGACAGACTATAGGCTCCTCTTGCCGAAGTGTGAATCCCGCCAGGGGCAATGCTCGAGGTCGCGCGACAGCACGCAATCCGCCATCTCCAGCGCGCGTAAACTAACTTGGATCGGAACCGCCTCCGCTCATGAAACATGCATGCGCCAGTGAGATCGGCCAATGGCCTGCCCCTCATGTACTCCAAATGGCAGCTTCAATCGCAGTGCGGGGAATGGAGTCTCCCGATGGCATCCAGCTCGGTGATAGCTCGGGGTAGCTTCCTGAGACTGGCGCAGAGCTTACATCGAAGGAGGTCGCCATTCTTTATAGACGGCCAAGTATAAAAACACCTTGATGGTGAGCCCATCAAGGTGCGCTGGAGTAACTCATCATCTCCAAATCAATCATCCATACCGACCAATCAATCCCAATCGTTGATTACCCTAGTCCCTCACAATGGCCTTCTCTCTCCACCCATCCCTCGACAACGGCATCACCAAGGGCAGCGCCAGCTTCTCTGGCGGCAAGCTCCGGTGCCACTGCTCCAGCAGCCCCGTCGAGGTCACCCTCGCCGGCAACGTCGCCCACAACCACGCCTGCGGCTGCTCCAAGTGCTGGAAGCCCAAGGGCGCCCTCTTCTCCATCGTCGCCGTCATCCCCAAGGACCAGCTCAAGGTCACCGCCAACGAGAACAAGCTCCAGATCGTCGACGAGACCGCCGCCATCCAGCGCCACGCCTGCAAGGACTGCGGCGTCCACCTGTACGGCCGCATCGAGAACGAGCACCCCTTCAAGGGACTCGACTTTGTCCACGTCGAGCTGTCCAGCGAGAAGGGCTGGCAGGAGCCCCAATTCGCCGCCTTTGTCTCCTCCATCATCGAGCAAGGGTTTGACCCCGAGAAGATCGGCGAGGTCCGATCCAAGTTCAAGTCCATCGGCCTTGAGACCTACGACTCTCTCAGCCCTCCTCTGATGGACGCCATTGCCACCTGGACCGGCAAGCGCGCTGGAAAGCTGTAAACGGTATATAGACGCAGAAATCTGCAACACAAATGCATTTAGGAAAGGCGGGTTCTAGAGAATTAAAATAGCAAAAAGCATAACTTGAGATTAGATCAACATGTATTAATCTGGGTCTAACTACTTTCACGCTTCGGATCATTCGTGACATATGAGCTCGTGAAGATAGCTATACGCCCTCGATATCTTCTGACTTTCTGTAATTTAGATGTAAATTGTTCGAATTTCACACTTCAAAGAAAATGCTCGCGGTGAGAATGAACCATTGATAGAGAGATCCCGACCATTGAAGTATTACTTCGAGTGTTGGGCAGAACGGCGCTATATCCCATCAAATGCTTTCACTTCTACCAAGTTTCCTCATTCATCCCACCTTGTCAGTTTTCGAACGAACCATGGTGACCTCGTCTAGTAATCCGAAACGATTGGTGCGTTCTTTAAAATATGCATCAGAGATCGAGAGAACGTGCAAAACCTCCATGGCCATAACATGTGAGAATGGTTCTTGAGTCACCGGAATTCGTGCATTCTCGCAGCCCGAACCTAGGATACTCGTAGATTTCGGGTAGTCATATAGGTTTCACACTTTTTTGCCCTTAAGAACCTACAATTCAGCTAACTACATAGTATTTGATAGACAATTCAAGATACTTTCGGGTTCGAGATCAACTGTCTACCCGGAAGCGTCTCCTCATTTATTGGCTTGAATAATACAACCAATTTCTATTTGCTTTATTGAAATTTTTTTGGCTTTTTGAAACTCTCTAGCCTCTCAACATAGTCTGCCCAACCCCTTTAAGACTAATTCTTGAACTCCCCTGTCCTAAGTCGCTCAACCACCTCCTTCAAGACATTCGCGAGCCACTCAAAGTCCTCCAACTCAAGATAAATCTGCGCGCTAATTCGGACAAACCACTGGTTGTTATGAAGAACAAAAGGAACAAATGTCTTATACTCCTCAACTAGAAGCTGCGCGGCCCAGGCCAGAGCTTTCGGCGACTCCTCCTCCGACAGGACAACGTCGTTGGGGCCAGGGGCGGGCGTGGCCGCGGTGCCCACCTTGATGGGCAGCCAGACATTGACCAGGGCGCAGTTAGTTAACGTCCCCTTTGAGTTCTCAATGATGTCGGTTCCAAGGATCTCGGCGACCCTTTTACCACCCCGCTTGGCCAGTGTCCAGAGGTAGTTCATGATCTCCTCCTCAGTTCCAAACTCCTTGGCCCGGTACTCCAGAGAATCCTTCAAGCAGACGAGGGAGCTGGTGTCAATCGTCCCCACAAACTGAAATCTCTGGATGAACGCCGACTTGGACGGGTCGGTCGGGAGGGGATTGACGAAAGCCTTCCCCGTCTTGGGCACGTATCCATGGCTCGTCGGCATCGTGCTGACGAGCAAGCCCTGATTCCGAACGGGTATGTACATGAACGCGCATCCCTTGGGCGTGTTGATCCACTTGTGGCAGTTGGAGAGGAAGAAGTCCGGGTCCAGGGCCGTCATGTCGAGGGGGATCATGCCGACGCCCTGGGCGCCGTCGACGAGGCTCAGGATCCCTTCCTCGCGGCATATCCTGGTGAGCTCCTTGTAGGGGAAGCACACGCCGGGAAGCGACGAGACGGTATCGAAGCAGGCGAGCTTGGGGCGCTTCCCTGCTGCCTTGGATGCCTGGATGGCGCCTCGGAACTTCTCGACGATGGCCTCATCTTCAAGCGGGTATTGCAGCTCAATCAGTCGAGATGAGACAAGTTCATTGTAGTCGCAGATGTAGCTGATGGTCTTGCCGCAGGCTCCATAGATGGTTGAGAAGGACAAGATCTCATCCTTCCCGTCTTCATCCCAGACAAGATTTCGGAGAATGATGTTTACGGCCGTGGTCGCGTTGGACGCAAGGATGACTGTGTCCGAGGGTGCGTTGACAAACTTTGCAATTGCTTGGCGAGAGGCATCGAGAAGCTTGGGTTGGTCATATCGGATGTACTTGTCTGGGTTTGACTCCTCCTGCAACTGGTATTCGACCTGCTTGTCTTTGATGACTCGGGGGACAACACCGAAAGAACCTGGACTATTGGTTGGCAACACAGAACCGATTGAAGCGTCGAGTAGATCAATACTAGCTAAACTCACCATTGTTCATGTTCCGCCACTCAGGAGCTAGTAAAAACTGCTCTTTGAGCACTTTGCCAAACTTGGTGGAGGTCATGATGAGCCTATTGATGTGGTTGAAATTGCTACAGAGCTTGGATCGACCATTCTCACGAAGAGGCGCATATTGACAAGAATATTTATGTTTTCATTTGTTCCATTTCTTATCCTCCGCCCCATTGACTCCAAGTGACTGACTCTTCACATTTCGAAAGTTTTCACAGGCAAATGCAGTCACTCATGTCGTCTAATCGAGAAAAGGGCGCGAACTCCCCGAAATCGGACAAACTAACGGCGGTTTGCCGACGAGGCCCGCTTCAAACCGCGATGACTCGCAAGTCAATTGGAATATTGGCTCTAACGCTCTCTATTGACTCATGTGTTTTGGAAAACAGTCATTGGCATTGGCCAATTGATGGAAGATTTCGGCTAGAATGAGAGGTGAACGGGGCCAATTGGGTCGATACCTGCATGCTCTCGTCGAGATGAATCATATCATCGGTTGGCAGTAGTCGCCGCTAGTTCGTGGTCATTGGCGAGGATGACGAGCAAATTTCGCTTTGCATTGCCTGTGATGTCTAACTGCATTGACGTGTTGAGCTGTCTTTAACGAGTTTGATATGGGTTGCCTGTGTTTTAACCCGATAGACGAAAGCGCAGGATGATCTGCAATAGGTGATAGCCATATTGAAGCGGCACGGCAATAGGCGCAACAAAGTGGGCAGGCGACCACTACACGACTCACCTCAGGCCAGCCACGTCGAAGTGGAGCTGGGGAAAAGAAAGATGCATGAGCTGAGCAATTGAGGAGTTCGAAATTGAAGCAACCCGCCCGCCTGCCCCGCCCCGCGGAGTCTTGGCCTCTAGACCACGAGGGACAAGAATGCTGCTCAGCCCTGGGTCTTACGACGACGAGGCACTGTTGAGGAATAGCGCTGGGTAAACTAGCTCGCAGTTGGTCACTGTGATTGACGTGCGCGAGATACCCGTGTCCGTCTGACAGGATGGGTGTAAGTGCTTGGAAGTCGTATCTCCGGTTGTCAGTACAGAGATAGGTTTTAGCTGCTTTTTGGCTTTGGCCAAACGAGTAGGCCCCGTCTCAGATGATCTTATGACGAGATGCGTAATCGTATCATGTGGTCCGGAGATAATTGCGGTTCGATTGAGACCGGCAGCCGGCCGTTCCGGACGCAGGGTGAGCAAAGTGATGCAACGCTGGACGCAGCTCTGTCTCAACGACCAGAGCGGGGCCTGGTTTGTACGGAAACGATCCTTGGGCAACTAGAGAAGAGCGGTGCATCCGGGAATATCGGGCTACATCATTGCCGGCCGTGTTGGGTCTTCATGGATGACTCGTGTGTTTGTTCTGGCTTCAGTCCCTGGGCAGACCGGATTATTCGGATCGCCTGTGTCATTCTGGATTTGGACCGGTGTGTCTTAGATGGTGGTCGAAAAATAGGGCGGAACAAGCAATAGAACAGGGCAAATTGGAGAGAAAGACGGAAAAAAGAAAGACATATTGATTCGAGAAAAAGAAAGAAAAGCACGGGTATCCTGCAGTCCTTTTTGCATAACCCAGTCAATTGCGAGGGCATCAAAGCAGCAGAATCGGACTGGCTCCACCCCTCGACATCGCTCTCATGTATGCAGGGCGTCACACCATGACGATGGGCCATGTGGAAAGCTTGGTGCTCCCTGCTTGCGCGAGAATATGGAGGACTGGGTGAGAGCCCCAGAAACCCCGCAAAAGGCAACCCGAAGCAGGTGCTGCATCCCAGATTCTTTTACGTACGCGGCCGGTCTGGTGGAGAGAGGACGATGCAGGTAGGCGCCAGGCGCACGGTGTCTCCGCGCGCTCAGTCACTGTGGCCCGTACCTCTAGCGGCTGGTACCTGCCTGAGGGGCGCGCTAGCAGCACTTTACTCGCTGGAGGGAGACGCCGGGCCCACCGAAAGCAGGCGAGGTGTCCCTTTGGCCCTCCACACTCCAGTCGTAGGACAAGCTTTCTTGGGGCATGCATCGCCGTTCCGTCCGGCGACCAACGATTTGCGTTTATCGGTTGAATACGCCAGCGACTCGCTAGTTGGCGTCAACGCTGCGCCGATGTGAGGTGAGCCGCCAGGTCAGGACTCAGCCGCCCGGTCAATGGCGTCGGGTGCTGGCCCAGCAGGGAGCATGCTGCCACCATCAGATTCACCATCAGCAGAGATCCGACTTGCCGACCTGCTGCTTGGGCCTCGTCGCATGTGTGTGCAGGGACCATATCAATGACATCAGCACGGTCTCGGCTGTGTCGAGCTGGTGGCTTGAGCCTAGCACTCGGTGATCTAGATTTCTCGATAGCAGACTTAGGACCCTTAGATGCTGGTTCTCGAAACGGCCCTTGTGCCGGGGAAGTTGGGAAATCGAGAAATTCAGCCCTGAAGACGGGAGATACAAGCAGACAAGCCCATTCTTTTGACTATTCCGGAAATCCACTGCATGTGTTCACCCCCGTATGAATTGGGTATTTAGGTAATACATGTAGGGCAGCCATCGCCAGGTCAGTGGAATCGGGACAGGGGTGTGGGCGACCGAACAAATCTACTACCAATAATCATAGGAATGCCGCTGAGCTTATTGGAATCACAATTTAGAAGGTCTCATGTGTAACACTCCGCGTGCCTGGGGCAATTCCCATATGTGTAGATCGACTAGAACAATGGTGGCGAGGATTCAGGCTAAAGAAGGGACATCGATGAAACAAAGCCCTGGACAATTATTAATCTACATCAATCTCACCGCGAGCATTCGTCTATCATGTTGTGCTGCTACGTCGCCTATGATTCGGCACACTTCTATCACGTCATACTGCTCTTACCTAAGTCGTCAAAACAAGGCTATACCAATGGGCTTCGTGTCGTAAATACGAGGCGTAATCATTCTACAAGATCTGGCGCTGTTTGCTCTGAGCAAGAATCCAACAGGCACCCGGTTTTCGTCTGCGAGTGCCGGTTGAGTTCAATCCCGTAGTCATTTGTCATCATCACCAGAGCTACTCAAGCGAGGATAAGACGCATCGGAGCTCTTCCAGCCGTTAAGCTCTATCGCTTGAGTCGGGATTGATGGCGAGGTTGGGGTTCTAACCGTCGATCAGTTGCCAGTTATATTGTGGGCTGGTGTGCAAGTGGGTAGGATGCGACAACCTTTTCCCCCTCCACGATGGGCAGCAAGGATGGCTTGGATGGCTCTGTGACCATAGATGGGTGGCAGCGGTGATGGTAGTGCCGGCCTCTCGAGGCCCAGGACTTGCTGAAACCGGCTCGTATGCACAATCGATGCAGCCATGTCAGCCACCCTTGATGCGGAGATGGAAGGGCAATGGCTAAGATTGTTTGTTGTTGTCGGGCAGTGCATAAAACAGGTTCGAGACAGACCACAGGCCGCAGCTCTTTGGCGTATTGCGTACAAAGGGACTGAGCGGCCTCCAGGACAAGAGAAAGGGCCAGGCTGGGCCCGAGGCTAGAGCGCAACTTCCACACACACTCCTCCGTTGCTTTTGGCAGTTGTCGTCAGCACGCTTCAGAAGCTGCCCTCCACCATCAGGAACTGCCTATCGTATCGGGCAAGGGTGTTGCACGGTTATGTCCCGCACTCTTGCAATAAAGGAGGGTTTGGTGCCAATCACGTCGACGCGATACAACACCAACAGGCACTGCACCAAGCCGCTCAAGGCCTAGTGCCTGGGCATCACAGTGCGACTCGAGTAGAGGCCCATGCCTGCATTGAAGTATATTGGCGCTTTGATACATATGGGCGCCTCCAGCTCCACTGATGGATGCAGCGGCAGACCCAGAACAGCAGACCAGCCAAAAGCTACCGTCTGCTGGCTCGAGACCCCCTGGTCGGCCTCCCCTGCTGCCCGTGTGCATGCACGACTCTTGTGGCGGAACTAATGCTGCACTCCAGCGCCCCATGCTTCAGCGCAGTTCAGCACTCGCCCTCTCCTTCCCTGCCCAGATGGCCCAGGACCCGCTCACTTCGCCTCCTCTTCTCCTCACTCTTCACACCATTAATATTACCTGCCTGCCATTTCCATCCTTCCTCTCCTCTACCCACCTCAGAAGTCCGTGGACGTCCGAGTCCACATCCAGCATTGAGTCGCAATCGAATTCAACCCATCACATTCCGCATTCATATTGATGCAATCAGTTTCGATTTTTCCGTTTCTGAAAACGCCAGTGGGCGCACTTTGGCTTTAAGCCCAAGTTCAAACCCCCCGATCGTTCTTGAATGGTCCGACACAGTCGCCATCATCAAAAAGGCTCAGACCGTTCCTGCCTTCGACATCACACCGAGTCAGCCATAGGATCACCACCGACCGATTCAACATGGCTGTGATTAATCAAATTGTCGGCGAGGCTGCCCACCTTGTTGTTCGAGTAGCGGACGCTGCCACAACGACCACTAGCAACCCCCAGCCGGCAGAGACGACTCAACCAGCCGATCGAAATACCAACTCTAGTTCCCCGTTGCTGTTCTTTGTTGCGTTGGGCTTTGGTGTGGTATTTACCAATTTATGGTGAGAATGACTTCCACGTGCAGTTTAGAGAGTTCTGGACTGCATGAACGCCGTTGAAGGTGCCCCTGAACCTTACGTCTAACCGATCGTTAGGATCATCGTTGGTGTCAAATACTGTTTCCGCTACAACGCTCGCAACCGAGCCCTTCGCATGGGCGAGGACGGCGAGCCAATCAACATGGAGAATATGCCTCGTCCGCATCGTCGACGTCGCGAGAAAAAGCTCATGACCATGGACGAGGTCAATGACAAGTTCCCCATGATGAAATACAAGACTTGGGTCTCGGAGCGGGCTAGAGAGGGACTGCCTACTGCCGGTGGCGTTGATCTCTCTCAAAGCCGCGCCAACAGTATTCGTGGCGCAGATGGAATCATCCCTGATCTGACATCCAACGATAGAGACTCTTCTGATAGTGTTCGAGCCAATGCCACATCTACAGCCGCATCTGCACCTGATGGACCCAAGAATCCCCAGGTCGCTGACAAAGATAAGGACG